CATATGAGTGGGGAATAAACAGTTTCTGTTCCACCTCATTTCTGCTTTTTCTGACAGTTTGTGGCAAAGCAACAAGGAAAAATGCCTAGTCTCAAGAATTCCAACCTTGTAGCAGAACCTCTCAATTTATTTCAGCCAAGGTGGAGGTACAGAGTGGCCTGACAGTTACTAGCCTAGAAAATGGAATTGGAAAGCCAAGTTTCAGCTAAGGCTTTCTATATTCATTTTATATTAATACCCTTTGGGGAGGCATGAAACCACATCTCCCTCAGATATGGATAAATGGAAGTGTGGTTGGGTTCCTTGAGTTCTGTAAAACAGTCTACTTAAGAGAAGTTTAAATTCACAGAAAAGAAAAAAAACTATAACTTAGCAGTTGTTCTACCTGGTCCCAAGTCCAGGTGAGAAATGGAATGTGATGCAGTTGAAATTTGGACCATAGCCCCAAGACCCAGTTTGGAAAAAGAAATACAATAGCTATGGAAATAATGAATAAAGCTCTAATGAATCCATGTCACATAGATTCAAAATAGACATTGCCCAATATGCCTTGTCACACACACACACAAACACACACAGATATTTGTGGTAGTGTAGCAGATATATACAGGTAGTGTAATGCATATTGGTGCTAAAAGTGGAATTGGTGAGATAAGTTGAAATTCTGGCCTAGACTATTATTGCCTTCACTTCTACACAAATGCCACTGTGAAAGGCAAGAAACTATTATCCCCTCATCCATGGGTTAAATAGCAAGGTGGACTGGGGTCTCCAGCCTTGGGTAGCAACCAGCCTAAGAGAAGCAAAATTCTAGAAACCAAAATGTGGATAAGGCAAGGGGAAACTTCTCCACTATTCCTCCCATCTATGGGTTAAATAGCAAAGAAGACTGGGTTCTCTAGCCTTGGTTGACATTCAGTCTAGAAGAAGGAAAACCTTTAACTCAAGCCTAAGGAGGACTGTATAGAGACCTTTTGGCACACTATGCACCATATCTTTGTCAACAGTTCTGAAAAGTGAGTCTGGTTCTAGACAAATGTAAGCCTTCATCAAATCATATATGTTGGCAATTTACAGGGTTAATTCTAAAAATGAACTGTTGTGTACTCATATGTTGAAATTAATAGGAGAGCACACACACACACATATATTTTGAATAATAAAAAATATTAAAAAATTAAAATCTTCAGACACACTGGCTTGTATATTAATATTCTTTCATTTTTATTATTTCAGTTAGATTCCTCGACTAGTTTTGGCTGACATGGCCATCATCAGGAGAAAAAAAATTTTTCTACTCGTTATTAGCAGTGAACTACAGAAATGAATGACTTGATGGAGAAAGGATATTGAAAAGTTCACAGACTAACCAAGAAGCTATTTCCAATACAATTTGGTCAGATTTTGTAAAGTGGGATGGGTTTTAAGCTTTTCAGCACCTTCTCATAAGAGGTTTTTAAGTCATACTTCTTTTTAGGCTTAACTTACTTTACAAGTCAGATATCTGTTTTTTTTTGTTTTTTGCTTTTAGCAGGTCAGCTGCCATTTGAACCTTCTTGATAAAAATGTAGGCCATTCTTTCTGGACTGAGAAAAAGGAAATGTCTCTTTTCTTTGTTGTCATTGAAAAGTTTTGCCTTGAGCAAGTGATTATGCCTATGAAGTTTACTCTCTCATGTTACAGCCAGGAAATGATGGTCTAAAGATGGCATCATTATTAACCCAACTGACCTTGTCTTCTTCTTCCCCTTCCCTCCCCTATGAGCTAATTTCTTACACAGATGATAAAAAAAACCAAGAAAATAATTGTTGACAAGATGGGTATCCAACTAGAATACCATTACCATTATAAACTTTATCCCATTATAATGGGTTTTGAATCATTTTGAACTGGTTGATCCCCTCTTGATAGAATGACCTCCCCAACATCTCAAGAATTTGATAACATCCAAAAGAACAGAACAACTTATGAATACTCTCATGTCTACTTTGTGTGTGTGTGTGTGTGTGTAATATCTCTTTAAAGTAAATGGAAATGCATAGGATTATTTGAATAGTAAATCTCGCAATCTGCAGCCATTTCATTTAACCATTGATCTATTCAAGATCAGTTGTAATTTAACTTTTATACCTCTCTTCACTGATTGTTGTTTACTTGCCATTTGTCTTCAAACCAACTATGGTCATTTAGACGAGAGAACTTTCTATGTCTGATCAGTTTCAATTTTGAGTTAAATTTTATTCTTTCGTTTTTATTTGTATAAATGTGGAATTTTAGCATCTGTGCCTTTTTAAAGAGATTTTGCACAAAATAACTTGACTGACAGACCTGGTTTAAAAAAACATCTTATTGGTGTTGATTGCCAAGCTCTTTACCATAAAGCCACCCATACACTCTTGAATAATAAATATTGTGGATTTATATTGTTTAAGAAAAACTGTTTTGAGGAAGAGTTGCTTTTTGTTATATTCCATGCTAAGGGAATAAATACTTGACACCAGGTGGATAATAGAAGAAAGGTTTATTGTACACAACAAGTACAATATGTAATACAGTACAGTTATACACATAGGTCAATCTAGTAGTGAGTGCCACTAACTGGAAGGTCGGACATGCTTGTGTTGTCTCACTTTCAATCTTCCTCAAGTCTCTCGTAGACAGTAGACTTTATAGGTACTTACTACCTATAGTGTAATCATTCATGGGGGTGACTGGTTATTCCATTACATCACTTTTTAACCCATAGGATGGACCCATGCCTTTCCTAAGTGCATTAATCAGCTAGGATTTGAACTCGGTTTGCTGAGTTCACTTTCTGCATTGATAACCGATATTTGAAGCATATTAGCAAGGTGTTTTTCATTGTGGTTTTTCTTAAATGTTTTCCTTTCCTAAAACCTGCCTGTTTCTGTCACTGCTTTTCTTATTACTTGTTCTCAGTATTTATATATATATATATATATATATATATATATATATATATATATATATATTTTTTTTTAAGCATATCACCTCATGCAAGGTGGGAGTGCCACAGGCACGCAAAGTGTTACAGAGAATGAGAGCAAGAGTAAAGAGGGGGTTGTTTGAGGAAAGGATATAGAAGATGGGGATCAGGATCAAGGCATCAGAAGATGTTGATTGACATTACATTTGAATATTTGAAGATTATAGTTATCAAAGGAGCAAGTAAGAGGGAGGGAGTTCCATTGATGGGAAGCGTGAGATAAGAAGCTGTTGGAATAGAAGAGATGACTATATTTAACCGTTTCAACAATGAAAGGGTGGGACAGAGATGCCAGCTTAACAGTATGCTTAAATTCATGCAGCCTGGGAACCAGTGAAAGTAGCTTGTCAGAGCAGTTGCCATGAAAATACTTGTAGAAGAGACAACACGTCTGTGAGAGAGTGACTGTAGACGAGATGCCAGATTGGGACCTATTACATTGCATATCTGTCTCTGGATTTTGTTGAGGACCTCAAAATGAACAGTGAGGGCATCAAACCATATATGGCAACAGTATTCAATGCAAGGATAAATAGTAGATTTGTAGATTTGAAGGATGGATTCAGGCAAGAAAAACCTTCTGGCGCAACACAGAGAACCAACTTTCCTTGCGGTAGATGAAGCTATTGATTCAATATAGTTGTTCCACCTTTTATGTATTCTTGGCCTTCTAGTTATTTTATCTATTTTTATGATCTTTTTCACAATGAATTGAATATTACTTTTGTTTGTTTTTCTTTCCCTTACTCATTTTTAATCCTAAATTCAGTTTAAGTTATTGACCATTTCTTGTAAAACATTTGATGATTTTGATCTTAGGAAAATATCATGAGCAGATCAGAGTTTAAATAGTCTCAGTTGCTGTCTATCTATATGCATTGCAGATCATGCATGTTTCAAGCTCTTCCCTTTCATTATAGCTTCTTCTACTCTTTTCAAGGTCATCTGTTTCTTTTGTATGTTTAATTCTTTGTTGATTAATTCTGTGTTTTCAATTTTATCTCTTTATAGTAAAAACTATGTTCCTCTGCTTTTACATTATTTCAGGTGTTGACTTTGAGTTATCTCCCTTTGTTTTCTCTGTTATTCATCTTTGTTATTTGCATCATTCCCAAAATATCTGCTTTTGATTTGACTTGAAATTTGGTGATCTTTGCACCAGTTTTCTTTCTGAGAATTATATTGATCTTGTCAAATTTGACTCTGTAAGCTACCATTCTATAAGTGCTTTTTATATTAACCGTTTTTATGACCATTTTTAATAGTACTGCTTTTATCAACAATTAAGTCAATTTCATTTTGTTTCTCACACTGATTTTATTAGTTATAATGTTTGCAATAGCAGCCTTCAATGAGTCCTTGATATTGTGGGCTGCTCGTTGGTCTCCCCCTTGACAACACTCTTTGCTCACCCACCCCAGATGAATGTGAATTGGTGTGCATCTTGATATAAATATATTTTGGGCATGTGGCTGAATGGTTAGAATGTTCACTTTCTGACCATGAGACCCAGGTTCAAATCTCACCATAGACTTATTCAGACTTTTGATCATATTACATAAAGCACACTTTCCCAGAAACTGTAACTAAGGTCTGCTCAGCATTGTTTCAGTTTAAACCACCGCTGGGCTCTGTGGGTGTTGAACAAACACAAATATACCTGAGCAGGTGTCTGCAACAAGGATGAGATAGACCTCATCTCAGAAATGAGTGACCATCCAGTCAGCCATCTATCCATCCACACACACATACATATATATATATATATATATATATACACACACACACACACAATAGAGAAATATGGTACTGCTATGTTATTTGATTCTGTTTTCTTATGTATGTGGGTGAAGGGACCTAGGCTTTAGTCTTTTCTTCAAAACAGCTTTTCCTTACATGTAACGAGGAAACTAAATCTTTATAGGAGTATAATTTCTCTCCTGTCTTTTTATTCCACGCCCCTCAGCTGGTCACCAAGACCTGTTTGCCACAAATGCTGACTCCCACTGATGAATATTCTCCCCACAATTCCAGACAACTAGATGTCAGTCCTTTGGCTTTTTCTGATGATTGGCTGAGTCACCAGAGAAGAGAGGTGTTTACTACATGCTTCTCCAGTCAAATTTTGTATTTTCCCACCCAAATCTCTACCTTTTGACTCTAGCCAAGGTGGTTAGGTTACATCTGTAGGTCTCTCACCTGTGTCCTAATTTCTAAAATCTAGATGAAGTGGTGATTCACGCACACTGTACATTGTGTGATTGTCATGCTTAATGAAATGTGCTTATTTATAAGATTTTTCTTTCTTTTTATTTAATAATATATAGTGCATAAGATAAAATCATTCAGCCAATGTGTTTCATAATTTACGTTATTTACACTCAGACTATCGTTCTCGTCTTTGTTCTTATTATCATAATGTTCCAGCTGTTGTGTTTAATTCTCTATGCTACTGTCCTCTGTCACAGTAGTCTTATGGATTAAAGTGTTGATTCATGAATTTGGTGACATTTGTGAGTTCAATCTTTTGGCCTGGTAGTACAGACTGAAACTCATTGGAAACAGGGCAAGCAATAACTGAGCAGTATGAAATAAGAACTAAACAAGATAGACCTAGACATGATCAGCAGAATAAGAACAGTCTATCCCCTGTAGATTAAATAAAGGGTTTAGTTAAAAATTTCTTGAGGGTTACTTGGATCAACAATCACCTGATGATTGTACAAAAGCTAAAATGTGATAAAACAACAAAGATGGGGACAATATCCCTCATGTAAATAATGATAACTCCTCATGTCTGATATTCAAACTGAAAATGTTTCATTTTGTTTCATGTTGTACTGTCACAAAGCTGATGTCAAAGTTGACGACTACTGGTAAAACTCTAATGACTATCTTAATATAAGTTAATGAAAAAAGTCCTTGCTGTTTTTTTATGCCATGTGTGAACAAGTCATCACTGATATGCAAATGAATGTGCTGGAAAAAATAATAGGGGTGGGGGGCATTGTTTTTGACCACTGTAGGTGCATTGTGCATCCAAATCAGTCATAGCTCAAGCAGTGATGAGGAAACATGGTGGAGTTCAGGATTGTCTGATTCTTGACTTTGAGCTTGTCCACAGCGACATCAAGTTACCGAATATGTTGGGAGATCTGTCAGTTTGTGATGGACACCACAATGGCTGGCCAAAGGTCCTGGATGATGAGGCCCTGAAAGCAGCCATAGATAGAGGGCAACAGCTAAACCTGCATTGAGCCTGAGTTTTAGTTCTCTGAATTAAGTAAAACATCATTCTATATAACAAAGATTATGACCATTTCAGTGCCTTTGTTTCTCAAGCCAGAAAAAATTTCTGGTATTTGGGCATCGAAAAACTCATTTTAGAAAATGAGAATTTCTCAACACCTCATCTTATATATATATATATATATATATATATATATATATATATGTGTGTGTGTGTAGGAACTCTACATTCAAGAATGTTTGGTTGCAAAATTTATACATATTATGTCTATTTATTTGTATTTTAATCCTCTCAAATTCACAGATCAATTTCTTAGTGCTGTTACAAAACTGATTAAGAAAGACACCATGGTTTTGTTTATTTCTTTTATTTTCTCCAATTCAAGATCATCAAGACTAAAATTAATGTAATTGGTAGTTGTGAATTTTTTGTAAATGCACATGAAACATGCTCCATTATAGTCAATTTACATTAATAATATATAAGGGAAGTAACTTAGTTTAAATTTTTTATATATATATATATATATATATATATATATATAATAACTGTATTTATATAATCTTCTCATAAGAATACCTAATGCTGTACAGGGATTAAAAAAATAATCTCAAAAGTTTTAGCAAATTTATTTCTTACAAAGCTCATTCACTCTTCATATTCTTATATCATTGCAACTAATATATGCTGTTAGTAGCTTTATGCATGGCTTCAGGTTTTTGAGAATTCTACACATACATTTTGGTCTGACATATGCTCAGAATAATTGGCACCGACTCATGACAAAAGCAAAGCCTTCTTACTGACCATTGCTTTGCAGCAAGAAACTAAATAAGAAAGTAAGTATAAAAATAAGTGCGCAGTTTCTGTTATTGCATGCTAAGTACTGCATTGATGATGTTCATTAATATATTTGAAAAAGACAATTTTTGAAATAAAATAAAACAAAAGCAAAAACTCTCTTCCTGTTTTTATACTCTGAATCTTTTTGAGGAACAAGATTATCTTTTTGTTCTCTTATTGGACACAATTAATTTCTTGCTAATTTTCATTTGTTAATAGATTATTTGAAATTTGTTTTCTGAGGGTGAAAAGTCAAAGTTAATCTTCATAAGAGTTTAGATTTTTAATCAGTTTTTTAATGAATCATTTTCAATGTCATTCTTTTGTTTTTTTAGTCTTTTTAGAAAGGAGATCTTTCAAGCTTGGTACTTGGCACAATATAAAGATTAACAAACTGATTTTACAAACCATTAGAGTGAATTTGATCCACATTGGGTACCCCCATTGCTGTGATCTCATACTAGACAAAACTTAGTAAATAACCACCTACATAGCAGGATGTCCCTTGTTTTTGAGGAAGAAGGGATGCATGTTCAAGTCTTGCAAAGAGCTTATTCATTATTTTCAATGACAACATGAATAGTTACAATGAAAAGTAAGTAAAATGAAGATGAAAGAAATACTAGTCAAAAAATAATAATGGTTCATCTAATAAAAATTCAAAGTAATATTACTACTTGGTTACTGATGGCTATAGGCTGAGGGTCTGAGGAATTGCAATCTTCTCTTTTTTTTCTCTCATTCTATTTCTTTTTTTTTCTCTCTCACTCTACATTTCTCCTTTTCTCTCTCTCTCTCTCTCTCCATCTCTTATTTTCTCTCTCTCTCCATCTCTTATTTTCTCTCTCTCTCCATCTCTTATTTTCTCTCTCTCTCCATCTCTTATTTTCTCTCTCTCTCTCTCTCCATCTCTTATTTTTTCCTTCTCTCTCTCCATCTCTTATTTTTTCCTTCTCTCTCTCCATCTCTTATTTTTTCCTTCTCTCTCCATCTCTTCTTTCTCTCTCTCTCTCCATCTCTTATTTTCTCTCTCTCTCTCTCTCCATCTCTTCTTTCTCTCTCTCTCTCTATCTCCATCTCTTCTTTTCTCTCTCTCTATCTTCATCTCTTCTTTCTCTCTCTCTCTACATTTCCTCTTCTTTCTCTCTCTTTTTCCCCATGTCTTTGTTTCTCTTTCCTACTTTTCCAATTCTAAATATTCTTTCTTTCTTTCATTTTTCTTTTTACTCTTAATTTCATTGATTTTTTTTTGCTCATTTTTTTATCTTCCATCTTATTTCTACTTTCTTTCCTTTCTTGAGTCATCAATTATTTTTTCTACTTTCTCTTTTACCCCCCCATCCTATTCATTTTTCCTTTCTTTTCTCCTTCTCATTGTGTCACTCTATCTTTTCTTTGTTCTCACTCTTTCTTTCCTTCCTCATTTTCTCTTCTTTTTCTCCATTCTTTTTCCTCTTTTTTCCTGTTTTTAATGTTTCTTTTTCCTACTCTCTATTTTTCTCTTCCTCTTTCTCTTGCCTCTCTCCTTTTTCTTCCTCTTTCTATTCTCATTCTCTTTTCTTTCTTATCTTCTGTTTTTAACATTCAAACAAGAAATAACTTATATTTCTCAAACTCTTTTGGTCATTCCAATAGACAGCCAGGTCTCCTTCCAACCCTGGCCAACAGGCTGGCAATTATCTGCCTATGTTATGTCTTGTAAGTAAACACATCTTCAACAGGTGAGAATGTGGCTTTAGATTCACATGATTGTTTTATTGAGATTTTCACCTGACAATTTTTATAAGCACTTTAAACTTCAACCTCACTGTTTCAACATTTGCCACCTGTGTCAGCAACTCTGAAATACATTTGGACTAATCCTCTCCCCAAGGACTTACATATACATTTTCAAGTATAAACTTACTTATGCTGACTCAAGTTTGGCACATGGGCACAGGTCTGTAGCTCCATATGAGTGCTCTTTTCATTGCATCTGTATTGGATACCATCTGCATTAATATACATATGTTTAACCAGGTTAAATTTTGGCCAAAGCTGCTTTCATTCACTTTGTATATATGCTGTTAGGTAAAGCAGAAATAATTCTCTTCTCTCTGTGCAGCAATGGCTAAATGGAAGTACTGTTGGAGCTATTTTGTTTTGTAAGGCAGTCCATCAAAGAACAGGCTACTCTGACAGAACTAGCAGCTTTGCAGTCGTCCCCAGCCCAGTTGAGGAAATGGGAAGGGTTGGATGTTGGGCCAGAAAAACAAAAAAACAAATATACAATAAATAAATCTCTAGTTGTTAAAAAAAGAAGACAGCACCTTCCAGTAGGCTTTGTTGCATAGGAGGGATGATGTATGTATTATTTTCCAAGTTGGAGAGGCGTGCTTGCCTTGAAAATCCATTTTTGAAATTCTGTTCTTTTTGTCTGGACCTAAACACTGTCTTCTTGCACTGGCATGAAATGCATAACCAACCAGCATCTTACAGGAATCCTCTGGAAAATCAATAGGTATTGTTTTCTCTCTATACGAAAGCTGCTGTCCATTGCTTTGTAACAGACAAAACATGTCATTCTATATTTTCAGCTTTCCTTACCATGATGTGAAGAAGCTGGCTTAAATTTATAACAATTTCATAGGGCAGCTGAAGTAAGGATGACTAAAAAATAACAAAAAACTGATATTACCCACAACACCAACTGTACATTCCCAACATCAAAACACTATCATATGATGAGAAACACTAGTTAATTTAATAAGGTTTCATTTATTATTTTATGGAAAACTGTACACCATTATTTATTATATTTGGAGCATTGCATTTGTTCTTTGTTTATTGGGCTTTTGATATTCAGAATATTCAAATAGGCCAGAAGTATAAGACGAGGGTGTAAAAATGAACTTTGAAATGTATGGTATTTATATATGGAATTTTATGATTTTGTGGGTTTAAAATGTTTTTTTTTGTTTAAAGAACTAATTGCATTGTCCACTTATATATGGCATAAATGCATTCACCTTAATAGGAAAATTAGATGAATCCATAGAAATTTCATAGCTGTTGATATGTAAGATTATCCATTATCTTCTGCTTTTGCGCCTTTCTCAGTCTTTGCTTGTATCTTCTAATTCTCTCCCTTATCCCTTCCAATCTTCATTGCCAATCTGTGTTATTATTGAAATATTATGTAATTATAAATCAGTATCATATATAAAAAAAAAGAAAGGAATTCCCAAATATTTCATCTTCTCTTTTATCTTTCTTTCATTTTATCTTTCCATAAATAACTTTAATGTGTCACAATTTTGATATGTTTTTTCATGTCTCTCTGCTTTTTATTTTTTACTCACCCAACCAGTAAATTTGACAAACTCTTTTCACTTCATCCCTTCACCTTCTCTTATGTTTATCCAATCTAACATGTTTTACTCTTATTAAAGCCTCATCAGAGAAAGAGATATAGAGGAAAAGAAGAAAGAACTTCTGGTATTTTTATTTCTGTGTTGCTTGATTTTCACTGGTTAATTAGGTTTCACATCTATGTGGGAGTCAGATCATAATGAATATTTATAAGTGTGTATATGGTTAGTAGATATTATGTTGGTTTCTCGCATGTTGATTTGGAAATGTTTTTACATACATACCATTTGTTTTAGATAACCATACAGTAGATTTTTCCTGTTCTCCATGTATCATTCTCTGATGAAACTAATAAAAGTGAAACCTGTTATTGGGTTGGTGCATAATTATCAGGCGTTTTTGTAGGCGAGTTATTTGTTAATAAAAATTGCTATTTTGTTTACATTTTTTAATAAAAATATTATTTTATTTTCAGGTTATAAAAATGCATGTCGATAATCATACGCTTAAGAATAATAATTTAAAAATGTTATTGCTGAATTGTTATGTTTCTTTTTTCATAATAAATATTGTTTAGAAAACGCCTGATAATTATGCACCAACCCAATAGATTGAAAAACATTTCCTATTTGTTCTTTATCTTATCCTGTTGGATTCCAATCCATATTTGATCTGCATTTGATCCTAATTTATGTGTGTGTGTATATATATATATATATATATATATATATATATATATATATAGTGAAAGTAATAAATCCATTGGTATATAATCCAAGTGGATCTTAGTTTTATAAAATATTAAAACTGATCCACAAAAAGAGCTCAATGTATTTATTTTCATTAGTTGAAATAGATCTATCTCCCATAAAAGGTCATTTTTGGATTTTGTTTGTAATACTAATATAATACTATATATATATATATATATATATATATATATATATATATATATATATATATTCCCTTTCAACTGTTTTTTTTTTGTTTTTTTGAGTATTTTTTCCAAGCTTTCTTACCTTGCCTCTTTCACACCCTCTCTCTTCCTCCTCCTCCTCTTCTCCCTCAGTTTTCTAAATTATTCTTGTTTAATATTATTATATGTTTCTCGGTTATAAAGTAGAACAGATTCCACCTGAGAAGATTGTGCATATACTACACTCTGATCCTAAACAGAATAGTGTAATAATCATACATACAAACAAGAAGATGAAGAGTATAAATGTGGCAGGATACACACTGATATAATTTTGGTGACATGATCTATACGTAGATTTATAGACATTCAATAAGCTTAACTTAGTCTGGTTCAGGGTTAAATGATAGTTTAAGAATAAGTAGGAAGATTTTGTTGCACCAAACTTCCAAATGAGAACATACTGCCTGCATTGCAAATTGGCATCTGAAATCCTGTTTTATTTGGGTTCAACCTCTGACCTCTGACACCCCTGGGAAATAGGCAACTATCTCAGTCACAAGGCGAGTCATTAAATATATGAAGATTTATTGAGCTTAGTATTGCATGCCAAAATGGTGGGGAATGGGACGTAAGATTGTGTTATGCTTATTTTCCAAGTGGGGAGAGTCTATCTGCCCTAAAAATAGGCATTCAAAATCTTGGTTTTTACTCAGCCTTAAACTGTGATCAGTTATTGAACACTACACATTTATGACCTTTTGCCAGACTAAACTAAACTTAATAAACAGATGCTCACTATGGAGCTTTGGATATCAATCTAAAGATTATTACTATTATAGAGACTTCGATTCTGACTGGATTCTCCACACTTGTGGCCTTGTACCAGATTAAGTAAATCACACACACACACACACACACACACACACACACACACACACACACACACACAAATCTTTGCTAATCTACACATACATATTCAAGAATATCCCCTTTCACTCTCATTCCTTTTTCTCATCTCTTCTTTCTTCCACATATTTCTTCTCTTTCCTCCTCTATTCTCTTCAACCTCTTTTCTTTTTGTTTTTTTCTTTGTCATTTTCTTTTTCTGTACTTTCTCTTCCCCAACTTTTCCTTTCTTTCTTCAATATATTTTTCTTCCTTTTCTTCTTCAATAAATCAATAAAAGTTCAATGGACTTATCTTTTTGTTCAACTCCACGGTTTCACGTCAAATCGCTTTGTCAGTGCCAGGTGTTCGATAAATCTATGGAAATCATTACCAGATCTCATCTTTATAGTCCACAGAACAAACACTAAGCATAACTTTCATATTTGAAATCTTTACCAAATTAGAGTTTCATTAAGAAAATAACATCTAAATTTAGAGCAAATTAAAAGGTGCTTTTTTTTGTATTTAATATTTAAGTTGATAATACTGACCAAGTTTATTTTAATATGTGATAAAATAAATATAGTCACAATTTAATTTAAAGATGTTTGCTGAAAGTCAATAACATAGAATAATAAAACAAACAATTTATAAATAATTAATTTAAAATGAAAAATAAATAATTGATAAGATTGAATATTACAAATGATATGATTATTGAGTAATTTTCACTGATGATGAAATAAAAAATGTATACAAATATGAATAGGTTAGTATGTATACATGTGTGTGTGCATATATATATATATATATATATATATATATATATATATAGTTTTAAGATGTGTTATATTTATGGGATAAAGTGCTCAATATCAGAGATAGTGTATGTAAATATAAATATAAAAGTGAACATTGAAGTCAACACTCAGATTTATATATATATATATGATACAGTATAGTTTTAAGGTATGCTATATTTATGGGTTAAAGTGCTCAATATCAGGGATAAAGCATATATAAATATATGTGGACATTAAAGTCAACACCTCAAGGCCACAGTCTGTTTCATACTTGGGTGCAAGATGGCTTGACAATTGTGTTCAAGCATGAAACAGACTGTTGCCTTAAGTAGTTGAGTTCAATGTCCACACACACACACACACACACACACACACACACACACACACACACACACACACACACACACACACAGATATATATTTATAGCAAGAGAGAGATATTAAAAAAAGAACATTTTAACTTGTTCTAAATTTAAATGTTATTGTGTTTTTAATCAAACGTAATAATTTT